ATAGATAGATAGATAGATAGATAGATAGATAGATAGATGGATGGATGATAGGATAGATAGGTAGCACTATCAATAGGTAGATGATGGATGGATGGATGGATGGATGATAGGATAGAGATAGCACTATTGATAGGTAGATGATAGATAGATGGAGGGAGGGAGGGAGGAAAAGAATAAATAGATGATAGAGATTGAGTGATAAATATTAGATAGATATAGATGATAGACAGGTGATAGATATAGATGGTTGATAAATTATAGATAATAGATAGATATTAACAAATAAAGACAGTTTAGGAGAGTTAAAGAGATAAATGATAGATATTAACATATAAAGATTAGGAGGGCTATAGATTGATAGGTGATAGAAAGATAGACAGATCGATGGAGATGATAGATAGTAACAAATTAGATTGGGAGGGATAGAGAGAGATGATAGATACTAACATATAAAGATAGATTAAGAGGGATAGAGATAGATAAATAGATGGATAGAAGGATAGAAATATTGATAGATTGATAGAGATGATAGATATTTACAAATTTAGACAGATTAGGAGAGAGAGAGAGATGATATATACTGTAGATAACCTAGATAGATGATAGAATAGATAGAGAGATAAGATTGATAGATTTTCCTTCTGCAAATGGATCTTACGTTCCCATTTTCACATCCCAAGGGTTCATACCCACAACCTATTCAGGCCCCAGTTTACGCGGGGGGGTGCGAACGCCAATATTATCATTCTCTTATTTCATGGTTTTTGTTAATCCCACCCGGACAACCTTGAGAACAAAAAGAGTTTTAAAAAAGTCTTGGCAGCAGCCCCACGGAAGCGGTATTATTCCAAAACCTCTATTAAAACAAACAAAAACACGAAAACAAAAAACAGGGGTGGTTTTTTTCCACAAGTCCTTTTGCAAGAGGCTTGAAGTGTTCCTTCTTCCTGAGGCAGGGAGTTCCAGGGACACCAGGAGCTTTGGTTAATAACTCTCCCCCTCACTCTTCCTCCCCAGAGAAAAGACATTGTGACGGCAGAAAATAAGGGTGGTTTCTCCGGCGGGTTTTTTACCCCAGGCAGGTGGAATTTAAAGATCTAAAGTAACCTTTCAAATTAGAAATGCCGCCGATGGTTCTTCCTCCTCCGAACCAGGTGTTGCCCTTCCTGGAGAATGCCAGCTTCCTTCCCCAAAGGACCCAAGCTTCTAGTCCTCATGAATTCAAACCTAGCCCCCCTGATTACCCCGCACCCCCCACCCGTTTCGAGCCTCCCTTCTAGGGTCGGTCACCTTCGTAAAAAAATCTGGAACGATCCGCTTTAAAAGTTCAGCCCGTTTCGGGGGTCCCCCTCTGGGAATCCGTGTTTCGTCCCAAACCCCCCGGGGTTGGGAAGCGAATGCAAATCCTGCCGCGGCTGCAATCTCAGCCCCGTGAACAAAGACCGGGGGTGGGTTAAGACTGTGGGCACTGAGCTACTTGCTTTGCAAAAAAAAAAAAACCCAACGACAACCAACCAAACCCCCCCCCCACCTCGCCACAAACGACGGCTGGGGGATCTGGAGGCGGAGGAGTGGTTTTTGGGGTGAGCCTGGCCCTCCTCGGCTGTGCCCCTCTTCCTTCCCCACCTGGTCTGAAGTGGTTGGCACACAGGAAAACACCCCCCCCAAAACCCCCAAATACATTCTCCTCACCGAGCTGCTAAACCCGCCCGGGCTGAATTTTGCAGCGAAAGTTGGGTTGAGTTGGCAAGGCAAGCCAAGCCACAGGCAAGACAGAGAGGCGGATTCCCGAGCTGTCAATCACAGACCCCAGATGAAAGCATTGGGGTGTGGTTGTGTGTGTGTGTGTGTGTGTGTACCCCTGCAAAGTTTGGGCTAGCTAGCTGGATCTCTCTTTAAGATCCTTGCTGGAGGCAGATTCGCACGACGGGTCCCGCTGGGTTGTCTTCCGATTCCACAGGATGGGACGCCACAAGGAGACCCAAAGGAGGGCCTGTCGGGGACAGTTGACCGCTGAGCGGCAACCGTTCGTGGAGCGACTTTTTTTTCACACGGGGCCGTTGCAATCACGCGTGACCTCAAATGTAACTGCGAGTGGTGGTTGCGTTGCGGGAAATCATGGTTTGTTTTGAATGGTCGCTGGTTTTCTAAATTCGCTTCCGGCTGGTTCTACACCGATAGGAAGCCGCCAAAGAGGTTTAACCATTTTACTGGCCACAAAAGGGGTTTACAAGTGGCAGTGTGTCACGGAAACAACAACCCCTGATGATCCACGAGGAAGCAACACAAGTCGCACAACCAATTTATAAACCCGGGTTATAAAACAATCCTAATTCCCGGGACTGGATAGTGTTGCAGTCAAAAATATTCAAGTTCCAGGACTGGATATTTTGTAATCTAAAATATTCAGTTTGGGTTCACCCAAAGATGTAATTCCGCCCTGCCCCTCCAAAAATAAAACCCAACCAGGATTAAAAACAAGCCCATTTGATTGAATGCAGCATCTAAGTTTGCAAATAATGTAAACGAATTTCCACTCCGTGCCAAGGGACAGACTGTTCTTAGCCCTGCCTTTATCTCAAGATGTGAAAAATATATATATTTCACATCTTGATATATATCAAAACCTGTTGGGTATCTGCCTGGCAAGCAACCACTGATGAAAAGCAGAAAGAGACTGATGGAGGAATGAATTCAAATTTTAAGTAGGAAATTAAATTGAAGTTTTCTTTTTAGCAGCACTTGTGCAGCGAGAGCGCCCTTTGCTGGCAGGTCTGCAAAAATTCCAGGTTTTGTGCACTAAAAACCTATTTATTTGTCTATGATCTCTAGTGACTCCTGAACTCCCCCCCCCCCACTTTAAAAAAAAACCCAAATTTGGAATCTGAACACTGTTTGCACTATGGAGGAGAAGAATTGCACTTTGTGCATGCTCAGGAGCCTGCCAAACATCCCTCGGGTTTCTCTGCCTTTCCAATTGTAAAACTGACAAACTTGCAAAGCACAGGAGACTGATTCAGCCAAACAAGCAGGAGAAAAGACCCGGTTGGCAAGCACTCTGTGCATGCTCAGGAATGCTGGATAATTGTAAAACTATTGGAACAGTTTCCTGGATGAGAATATTTAATATTTAGAATAGACGTTGGCATCCGTGCATTTGAATTTTAAGATTTTCAGTGCAGTATATGAAAAAAAAAATGATTTGCACTTATATTACAGGTAGTCCTTGACTTACAATGGGTTCATTTAGTAACTGTTTGAAGTTACGACGGCACTGAAAAAAAAAGTGACTTACGACTGGTTTTTTTTCACACTTACGACCGGTGCAGCATCTCCAGGGTTACATGGTCCCCTTTCGTGACCTTCGGACGAGCCAATGGGGAAGCCACGTTCACTTAATCTCACAGCTGTGTGATGAACAACTGCCTCAATCCCTTTAACAACAGAGGAGGTAAAATGGGGGGCAAACTCACTTAAGAACGGTCCTGTTTAGCGGCAGTATATTACCCTGTGCAGAAAATATGACCTACCCTGAAAGTAAGACTTAGCTTGATTTTTTTTACACGTGCACCCAAAATAAGCCCTAATTAAGATCCAGAGTGGACGGGTAAAAATTAAGCTAGGATGGGGATTGGGGTGAATGTGGAGCTGCCCTACCTATATATACATATATATATATATATATATATATATATATTATATATAATATATAATGGAAAAGAGATCAAAACACAAACGACCCAGGAGATTAAAGCACAAGAGCCAGGATATCTTCACAACGAAACTCACAAGGCCATCACACAGCCCGTTATATCAACATCAACTCCATCAACCAATCAAGAGGCAGCAGCGCAGCCAACCAGCCCAGCACACCAGCCCCCACCACCAGTATTTATAGAGAGGCGGCAGCTCCGATCACACACTGCTTGCACTGGCACGAAGCCGAAAGCACCAGCCTGAATGACAGGGTCTTATTTTTGGGGAAACACAGTAAAAAAAATCGGTTTTTCTTTCACAAGAACCACAAAATTCTTTTTTTTTTAAAAAAAAGCAATTTAATCTCAAAGAAATACAGAAGGAAAACGCAGTCCTAAATATTCCTTATGTCCTAACACAGACATCTTTAACTCTTCTCCAAACTCCACAACTTCTCAAACCCCACAGCAACTTAACAAACTTTCCATCCATAAATGCGAACGTTTTTACATTTTTCAACCGATCGATTTCCCGCCGTCTTTCCAAGCGTTCTTATCTTTCGTCGTCCCCCCTAAAACGTGACTTTTTTCTCCTTCAGTTTCAACATTCAGCTCCAGAAGGAAGAAGGCGGGGTGAATTCTCATATCAAGTTAGCTACTGTGCTGGGACCACGTACAGGCAGTTCTCAAACTTACGACCATCCGTTTAATGACCGTGAAAAATTACAAGGCCTCTCATGGGATCACAATTAAAACTGACTTGGCAACTGACTCGCATTTACGACTTTGGGTGACTTTTCCGACGAGTCGAGTCGAAAGCCGGATTTGAACCACTGCGGGGAGTCGCTGGACTTGCTTTCCAACCTTACGATCCACTTAACAACGGCAGCCATGTCTTTAACCCCTGTCCCCGTTGGCTCTCGCCAAAGAAAGAAAATGTGGGAAGACGGTTTCGCTCCACAGCTGCATGACTGCCTTAGCGACGGCAGTGATTTGGCTAGCAACAAAAAATAAAATAAAATTGGGTGCATCTCACGGAGCAACCGCCTTGCTTACTGACGGATGTTCTGGTCGTAAGTTGAGAACTGCCTGCATTTAGGTCACAAAAGCAATAGGTACTTCAGAAGACAGGGGGGAAAGCAGAGAGCCCCTGAAAGCTGGAAGAGCTTTCCGGCGAAGGAAATTTAGCTTCTCGCCTCGCCGAATGATCTACGTTTGGGGTGCAGTGTGCGTTCCCACAACACCCCACCGTTGCGTTGTCGTTACTTCCCTCCGCACTTCACGCACAACTGCTTCATCTCGGGGCGTTCAGCAGCACTTCCAGCCAACACGGGCAAGAAGTAATGAACCGGCGGGTGTAAGACACACCCCAACCTTTACCGAAACTGATCCGGATCGTGTGCCCATCGTGGGGCCCCTCGCCGGTGACCGGGCGTCTGCTCGCCAGGTGCGTGGCCCGGTCGTAATCGAAGACCTTGATGGAGTAACCGGGGAGGATTTTGTGAACCGGAGGGGCGGAGCTCCCCCCGGTCCCCAGAGTGGGGGAACAGACGAAGAGGGGGTGCTCGCTTCGGTTACAAGCCCAGACCCCGCTGGCTTCTTGGCTGAGCAACAAACCCCGTCCGATTTTAGCCTGTGTTCTCCGGACAGCCGGGCTGCGGTTTTGGGATGACAGCTGGCCCAGGCAGAGTCCGTTGCCGTTGGGGAGGTTGGAGAAAACGCAGACGTAATCTCCGTGCACCGGGTAGAGCCTCCCCACACGGTGGCGATACTCCCAGTAAGCCAGTTTGCACCAGTAGCCGTCTCTCAGGGAGCAGCGGGAAAGGGTCGTGTCTGCGGGAGAGAAGGGGACGAACCGGGTTGACAAATAGTCTTCAGCTTGCAACGGTTTTACAACGGCGCTTGAAAAAAAGGGGAGTTCTGTTTTCGCAACCCTTTGCAAACTAGTGGGACAATGGGTTGAACCCAAGGGTCTTCAAACGTGGCAAGTTTTAAGACTTGCGGACTTCAACTCCCAGAATTCCTGAGCTAACAGGACTGGAGGGGGAGGAATTCTGGTAGTTGAAGTCCACAAGTCTTAAACTCGTCACGTTTGAAGACCCCTGGAATAGATAAATAGAGAAAGAGAAGAGAGGGGGGGGAGGAAGGAAGGAAGGAAGGAAGGAAGGAAGGAAGGAAGGAAGGAAGGAAGGAAGGAGAGATGGAGGGAGAGAGGGGAAGACAGGCAGGTTAGACTAAAAGACCTCCAATCTCTTATTCCATCATTATTATTATCCACACAGGACGTTAGACGGGATCCAAACAAATATTTTTTGTACGTCAAGGACTATTTAGCCTCTTTCTCTCTCTCTCACTCCGTCTTTCTCTCTTTCTCATCTCTCTCTCTCTCTCTCTCTCTCATCTTTCTCTCATCTTTCTTTCTGTTTCATCTCTCTCTCTCATCTCTTTCTCTCTCATCTCTCTCTCTCTCTCATCTTTCTCTCATCTCTTTCTCTGTTTCATCTCTCTCTCTCATCTCTCTCTCTTCCTCTCTCTGTGTCTCTCTCTCTCTCCATCTCTCTCTCTCTCTCATCTCTCTCTCTCTCTCCCTCTCTCTGTGTCTCTCTCTCTGTGTCTCCCCGCCACTTCCTCTTGTTAGAAATAAACAGCCGTCCGTCTGGCCGTCTCTAGGAGAAGGAAGGAGGAAACTAGCCGCCTCCAACGTGGACTTCCTGGTGCCTTCCCTTCTCTAGGACAATCCACCAAACGTGGCCCGCCCAGGCAAAACAAAGGTGGCCTCTAATCCTTCCTCTCTCTCTCTCTCTCTCTCTCCCCTCTGTGCCCCGCAGCTTGGAAGGGGGGGTGGGTGGGTGGGCGGGAGAAGGGAGGAAGAGGAAGCTGACCCTCTGGAAATAGGAAAATAAAATTCATTCCCGCCCCCCAAAAAAAATATTTCTTTGGATCCCGTCTAAAGGCCTGTGTGGATAATAATAATAATAATGATGGAATAAGAGAGTGGGAAGGGGCCTTGGAGGTCTTCTAGTCTAACCCGCCTGCCTCCCCCCACCCTCCTTTTTTCCTTCTTCTCTCTCTTTCTCTCTCTCTCTCTTTCAACAGAAAAACAGTTGGAGGGGACCTCAGTGGTCTTCTAGATCTAAACCCCTGCCTCCCTGTTTCTTTCCTTCTTTCTTTCTCTTTCATTTTTTCTTTCCTTTTCTTTCTTTCCTTCTTCCTTCCTTTTTCTTTCTTTCCTTTCTTCAGAATAACAGAGTTGGACCTTGATCTTCTAGTCCAACCCACCTGTTTCTATGTCCTTTCTTTCTTTCTTTCTTTCTTTCTTTCTTTCTTTCTTTCTTTCTTTCTTTCTTTCTTTCTTTCTTTCTTTCTTTCTTTCTTTCTCTTTCTTTCTTCTTCATTCCTTTCCTTATTCCTTTGTCCCCTTCCTTCCTGCTTTCCCTCCTTCCTTTCTTTCTTCCTCTTTTTTTCTTTCCTTCTCTTTCCTTTTTCTTCCTTCCTTCCTTCCCTTTCGCTCTTCAGAATAACGGAGTTGGAAGGGACCTTAGAGGCCTTCTAGACCAACCCCCCTGCCTCCTTGTTTCTTTCTTTGTTTCTTTCTTTGTTTCTTTCTTTGTTTCTTTCTTTCTCTCTCTTTCTTTCTTTCCTCTGTCTTTCTTTCTTTCCTTTTTCTTTCTTTCCTACCAAACGTACAAATCCCACTGAATAACACAGTTGGGGGGGGAACTTAGAGGTCTTCTAGTCCAACCCCCTCCCCAAGTGGGAGACCCTTATATCATTTCTGGCAAATGTCCAGCCTCTTCTTGGGTGGGGGAGGACGAACACCCCCCTCCAGCGACGGAAAAGCCACAACTTCCAGAGAAAAAGCCCTTCCACTGATCCGATTGTCCTTCGCGGGCAGGAAAGGCTGCCAATCACCCCAGCACCCTTTTCTGCGTCAGCTGTGACTTAAAAACAACCCCACTGTGTGACCAAACTGCCCCCCACACCCCCACCCCCAAGGACGAAGCCCACCCACCCACCCACCCCTCGTTCTTTACCTACCTTGCCATCCTTTGCAGTTGTTTTCCAAAACGTTAGCGCACTTCAGGGGCGCAGAAAAAGGCGAGATTTTGCAATACGGCGGCGGCGGAGTGTCTGTGAAAAAGGGCCGGGCAGAAGGAAAACCACGTGAGGAGTTTCGAAAGGGCAGGCAGTCCTCAATTCACAACCACAACGGAGCCCCAAATTTCTGCCGTTAAGCGAGACAGCTGTGGTCAGCTTTGCCCCCATTTTGCAAATCACGGCAGTTGTTAAGCTAGTCACCGGGTTAAGGGAACCTGGCTTTCTCTCTTGACTTGGCTTGTCAGAAGGCAGGCAAAAAAGGAATCACGTGATTTCCCGGTGATTGCTGCGAGCGTCATAAGTAGGAGTCAGTGGCTGAGCATCCGAATTTTAAGGATGCTGGAACGGCCATAAGTATGAAAAATGGGCCTAAGTCGCTTTTTTTAATGCTATTGTAACTTTGAACAGTCAATTGTCTGTATATGATAGATAGATAGATAGATAGATAGATAGATAGATAGATAGATAGATAGATAGATAGATAGATAGATAGATAGATAGATAGGGTAGATAGATAAATAGGTGGATGGATGGATGGATGGATGGATAGATAGATAGATAGATAGATAGATAGATAGATAGATAGATAGAT